AATTTATAAATATAAATTTAATTCTCAGACTAATTTTCATAAAATTGATTAATAGTATTAAAAAGATTATGCTAATAAAATTTTGCAATAGTTCTTGAAATTTTATTTTATTGTTTATGAATAAATACAATTTATAATATATCTTATAATTTTATAATAAAGATCACATTGTAAATCTTAAAGTTTTTGAAAATTATTATTTCCGTGCATAAGAATCAAGAATCAATCCATTTTAGAGTTAAGAGTTTGCAAAAGTTAGTTAAAACAATATTAAATTTTGAGATATCTGTCTCTTAAAAATGAGGAATCTTAGACAAATGTTAAAGAATTTTTCAGTTTTAAATACAGATATTAAATAATAATCTATTTGGGGGAAATTATCATGAGTAAAAAATTGAATAACAGCAAGAGGTTGGCTATATAATTAATAACTATTGAGTATTTTATTTATGATTTGACATTTTTTAATCTAGGGAAACCTTTATAAAATTTTGATAATTTATTTAATATTTTACAAATTCGGTTTTTATTGAGTAATAAATTCAATGAGATAAATTTATTTTGAAGGCTAAAAACTAAGTCAATTAAAATTAATTAAAATTTAAATTGATCACGTAATATATTTCAAACCCATTGTTATTTTTTAGCCAAAGTTGTCTGACATGATGTTAAAGGTATCAAATTTTCAAAGTTATTAAATATAATTATGATGAGCATATTAAGACTAAATATATGAGTGAATGATTTATACCTTAATATTTTATTCTAATTATGAACAATATTAAAGTTATGATTGATAACTAATTAATAATTTTATAGTATTCTAAATTATTTAAAATCGTTTAATTATTTAATTTATATTAAGGATAATATTATATATAAAATGAAAATATAATAACAGGCAAAGTTAAGATCAATTATTTGATTTTATTAATAAAACTTAATGTTAATAATAAGATTTGGTTGAAACATAATTCTCTTTGCAATTATATTTTACTCATATAGATTTTTCAATCTAATATATATATAAAAATCATCTTATCTGTGTTCTAGTAATTATCTAGAGATAAATATAAAACGATTATATAAATCCAAATTAATCTTAGTTTGCTAGATAGATTTCCACTCTTATTTTTATCAAATTAATCATCTTTATATCTATCACTTAATACATGTTATTTGAATATGATTACTTATTATCTTCAATATCATTAATTAAGAATTGCAGCCACATCGAACCAAAGTGACATAATATTCATTTTAATAAAAATATTTGGTAATTCCTAAAATTTCAAATGATAGGAGACTTTGAGTATTGCAAAATAATATTTAGTAGATCTTCTAATGTCATTAAATGTAATTATATCCTATTACTTTATACTTTTCTGTTAAAATTCTACCATCACTTGTATCGCCTAAAAACTCAAGAATGTAAATTTGAAAACTTCTGGAATTGGAATTCAAAAATTCTTCCTAATTCTCAATTTTCTATTTTATCACTTTTGAATGATTAAACAAAATTTAAATTCTCTTTTATCTCTAGTATTCATCCCATTCACTCTCATTATTTTTCTATTAATCTTGAAATATAACAATGCAGTTTACTTCATCAAAGATCAAGTTTATTCTGTATTGGTTTTTCTAGAAGAAAAGTCGAATTGAGACTTTCAATATATGTTGGGGTTTGTGTATTATTCTAGATCCATCTGGTTATACTAAGTCAAGTTATTTGCCCATGCCAAACCTTTCCCATTTATCATAAAAGTCCCATATCAACAATTAATTTAGATAGAAATTCATTCTATAATTATTTTTTTGGCCTATAATTGTCTTTTAAGTCTTCCTATCTTTATGCAACCTTAAATTTATTGAATGAAGTAGGTGCCTCAGAGATTTCTAACTATGATATATATTATGAAATAAATATTGAACAATTATTTCTATTATTTTTCCTTCTAGTCATTTTTTGAATCTCCTCATCAAATATTTTTATTCTACTATAAAATCATTATGGCAACATATCGAGGTTAAACCATAATTATATAGAGAATTTTTAGTAACAAAAGTGGTTACTCATATAGATAAATCTTCAGTTTCTAATGAGGTATTATGTGGAATATTTGTATTGTATTGATGTATTCTTTTATTATTTAATTATGCTTGATTCAATTTAATCAATTATATATTGGATGATCAATTAAGAGTATAAGATTAGCATTGTTCCAATCCTTTAAAGATTAATTATATTTTGATTGATAATTCTACTATTTATTTTCACAATATATTAAACTTTGGAAATAAAAATTATGGAATAATTGAATAAAAATAATAATATCATTAGAAAGAACCTATGTGCTTTACTTGAGCATTGGTTATATCAATTTCATATATCAGTCTATTACAATATTAGTAGTTTTTCCAATTCTTTTACGATCCTAATTAATCTGTTTCTAGTTGAAATATTTATTTAATAAGAATTAATTTGTATTGATATCAATAAAATACACCATATCTAATTATAAAAAATATTCAACTAAGATAGTTCAAATAATTTATTTAATCCATCAAATTTTGTAAATGTTAATTTAAAACTTAAATTATTTTGGAATAATTGATAAGAAATAAAAATATAGTTAACACTTTGTTGAACAAACCTAATTGAATCTCTGCTCAAGGCTAATACTAATTTTCCTAAAAGATGGTTTTAATTTTTAAAGTAGTAGTGTTAAATTTTAATTATAAATTACATTAACAAATAACAATATATAAATAGTCAAAGCATCATTTACAAAGAAGGTTGACAATAAATGCAGAATAAGATGAAAAAGAATATTATTAATTTAAAATGAAATGATATTACTAAATCAAGATGAAGCTCTTCAGAATGTTATACACGATTCTGTAAGATGTAAATTTCAAATAAAGATACAGAAAATTTAGATATTAATAGATTAAATAGAGTTATATAAAACTATTTATATTAAATCTTTAAAAGAAATAAATTTGTTGAAATGAATAATATTGTTATTCTAATATATTTTATAAAGAAATAGATATTTAAGAGGCAGTCATTTGATAGCTATTTTCAGAGTTCCTTTTTTCATTTAATTTTATTATGGATCTTTATTTATAGGATATTATAAATATCAACTTTTATAATAATTAAAATCATAGTTATTTTATTTAATAATATTTTTGTTAATTAATGATATTTTTTACAATATATAAGTTATGATTATAATTTCATATTGAAATGATCAATCAATCATTTAATATGTAATTTTATTCATATTTCAATTTTCAATATTAAAATTTCTGTTTCAACATCATTAATTATTGATATTTAAATAATTTCTATTTTTTATTAAGACATAGTAATTAATAATTCTTTTTCAGATTCAAGGATTTATAAAAATATTGTATTATAGACTATGATATTACTTTAATTAAGACATAAATTATAAAATGAAAATTGTTCTGATTCACATCCATCACAAGTTCTGAAATAACTAGAAATTACCTTTTATTCTTAACATTAAACCTAAATTTATAATGAAATAGAGGAAATAATATCATCTACAAATAATTACTTTGAGCCAATTTCATTCATAATTAAATCTAATTCAACAATTTTTAATTAGAATGGATTTATTAAATTAACTATTAAACCAACAACTTGATTTATTCTAACATAAGAACATTCTAATGGAGGTGCTTAATGATATAGAAAATTATCTACCAGGTATACATTTACTTTTTTATAATCCAAATTTTTTAACGCATTTAATACATTAAGATGTTATATCCCCAGTGCAAACTTCACAACCTACTGAACATTTAGCTACATATAAATTAAAAGATGAAACTCCCCAATATGCATTTTATACTAAATTTTAAGCTGTACTCATTTTTATTTTTATTTATGAGGATGAATGTAATGTACTTACATCAATATTAATTATAATCACATTTTATTAAGAAAATTTAATAATTGAATCTAGCGTATTAATTTGATTAGTTATATAGTGTTATCATCTATATCCAAATTAAATAATTCATTATTCCAAGAACCAATTCCCCACAATTTGAAAACTATTTGAACTCTAAAGTGAGGAATCAAAGTTTCAATCAGTTTTTATATACTATTTCCTCCTGAAAGTGTACCATTTCCTCCTGCTATCTTTAAATTAGCACATTCACTAAAACCAAGTTGTTCATTATTATCAATCTACCATCTATCAGATTCATCTTAACTATTCCAATATGAGGCAAAATTAAACCAATGATCACATGGAGATGTTAAATCTTTACAAAATTAACAACCTTCAGGACATTCTGTAATTTCTATTTTAAAATTATTAAATCCCCATGATTCCTATATATTATGATTGTCATACATCAAGTGAAGATGAATTTAAATCTGAAGTCATAAATACAATAAGAGATGGAGAAAGATGAGGTGAAATTGTAATTGTTATTGTATCAACATATTCTAAACAATCTGATAACTGTAAACCACATATACTTTCACCTTATGTACCCCAGTATGTTTTATAGGCAGCTTTTTTATCATCAATTAAGCATCTGAAATATTCACCATCCCATTAATCAATTCTAAAATATAATTTAATATATTACTTCCAAAAATCAAAAGTAATTCGAATAGAATTATGAGTTGGAAGTATTAGATTTGAAGAAACAAAGGAAGATTTACCAAAAACACCATATCCTCCAAATAACTTTGAATCTCCACATTAACTAAATGGACCCCCATCAATATTAGAGTAAACCCAGTTTTATTTTGGATATAAAGAATCTTAGTCATCCCAATTTTAAGTATTATAAATTTCTTTCCATGTTATTTGAGATTCTCCAAAATAAATTATAAACTATGCCAGATAGAAAAATATTTTCATATTTTTAATTATATATTATTTTCTGATTAATATTGTAAAATATTGCAATTTAATAAATGATATAATATTTAAGGTAAGATTTAAATATGTATTACTGATATTTTTCAGGTTCAAAGTGTTAATTAGATTAAATAATTATTCATCTCTTACTAATATAAAATTTATTCAAAGAAAATCTAACTCATTTTTAATTTAGAACTTCTTATGTTTGTTAAAATTTGAAGAAATAGTTTATTCTATTATATAGTCATAGTAATTCTTTTTATTATTATTAATATTGTATAATTTCTTGAAAATGTTTAATATATTCTAAAAAAGATATTATTTATTTAGATTCTAAATTACTCTTTAGAAATTGGATATACCTCAGTATCAACTCCTTTCGTATTATGAAATAATTCTCTTTAGTTTAATTAAATTAATTACTTAACCCTTCAGTAAGCTTGCGAGTATATTGACAAGGATGCACTTCACTAAAACAGTTTTTTAGATAAATTAAAAATTCTTATTTTATTTTAAATTATAAAATCCATTAACAATCTTTTTTATCTCATCTATGACAAAATAAACTCTTTGTTTATTAATAGGAGAATGAATTTACATTTTTTTTTCTTTAAATATGCTGCTACCCAAAAAGAATCATAATATTCACTTAATAAATATTATCAATGTCAAAAAATATATACCTAAACAATTAGATTAATACTAATTTAGATTCACATTAGTTTCACTTCAAATGAGTGCAGCTAAATATTACAATTTTATCATTTGATGTTCCATTTATTCATGACATATTAAAGTAGAAATTAGATAATTGAAACAAAATAGTTGATTGATTTTAGACACAAACTTTAAGTAATTAAGTTAAATTATAATGCATGACTAAAATTTTGATATTTAATAAATTAAGTACGAATATTGGTCTATCAAATAATAATAGATTTAGCAATAAATTTAGGATGATATCAAGTAAAAGAAGGCTTAGTGAAAAAAATTTGTCAACTATTTTAAGAATTAATATCTTACTATAAAAAGATAATATAATATAGATATAAACAAATTTGAACCTTGAGTTAAATGACATAATAACATACAATAAAGTTATTATTAAGTAATCAAATTATATCATTAATATCTAGAGAATCCTGTTTTTTAGTTATTTCATAATAGTGAAGCTTTTCGTTTAGAAATTTGTACTTTAAGATCTAACTATTTCAATATATATATGATATAGGTTTCAACAAGTAATTGTAGAAAAAATTTTGAAGTTAATAAGCTTAAATTCTAATTTCAACTTTAAAAATGGATATCCTTGATATTTTCTTTTATTTATAAAGAAATTTATGATTTTATTCAATTTTTTCTTAAAAGTGTGGATAATGTTCTGAAGCTAAGGAGAGATTGTTGGGGTTGAGAATGCAATCTTAGAGAATCTAAAATTACTACTTTAAAAATTATAGGGATATTGAAAAATAATTAAAGGGAGGAATAAGTATAACATTAAATCATCATTTATTTGATAAACCATTATTATAATATTGATCAAAATATTAGTTTTTTCTTTATTATATTTAATTTTATTTATCAGAAAACGCTTTTAAAAATTGAAAAATACTCTCTACTGCTTTTGAAAAGCTATGATTAGTAAACAAAAATTCTGAAATTATTAAGATAAATTGTATTATACATAATAGAATATTTTTAGAAATATTAATTTAAATAAATAATCTTTATTCATGTGACAAGGAAAAAATTATAAAAAAATTGAAAAATTTAGAAAGAAGTCAAAATTAATATATTTTAAGATCTGAGATAAATCAAACAGGATTTAGAGATGAAATAAGAAATTTTGAAGATAATCTAATAGTTTGGAATTACTCTAGTTCAAGATTTATCTCTTCTTAAATCCAAATCAAATACACTCAAGACTTAGAAATCTAATAAATAAGAGATGGATCAATAATAAGAATGTAATAGTTTATTGACATAATTTAGAGATAAAATAAAAGATTCCTCAATGAAGCCTCAAATTTTTTATAACTTAGAATAAATCCAAAATTTGTTAAGGTCCGGATAATATGGAAAAAAAAATTAGAAAGTTGGATATTGCATTGCTCAAAGGAAGGGTAATATATGGGAAATTTATTATGAAGGATCTTAAATGTAAAAACTGTCATTTGTAATAATTTAGTGGTGGTGGATCATATGAACAGGAAGGTAATGAAATAAAGATTGGCAAGTGGATTGAATTAAATATAGACTTTTAATATTCTAAATAACTAATTTATAAATGTGTATGAGCATGGTAAGAAATTTGGCAAATGGGAAACTCAGTATAGAAAGAACAATGAATATGACTTCAAAAAATGTAAACATTATACAAAGTTGCCTAAGTGGTAGTGGTTCATATGATAAAGGAGTTGATGAAGCTAAAATTGGCATATGGGTTGAATTAGAGGATAGAATGTAAAATTTTAACAAAGTAGTTTATAATGGTGAAGATATTAATGTTAAAAAAATGGTAGATGGTATATTGAATATGAAGGAACATAATAGTAATCCATTTTATATAAAGTCGCAATAGCGGTGGTGAATCGTATGATGAAGGAATTAAAATTCAAAAATGGATTGATTTGGATGATAATTTTGGTGCTAGATTCGGATAGTAATATTTAATTCATAAAGGTGAATATAAAAATGGGAAAAAAAACAGGCTTATGAGAAGAAATGAAAAAAAATAAAATAAATGAATATGACAAAGTAATCGAACTAAAAGTATTTGATTAATGAATTAACATAAATAAACACAATAAATAAAAAAAATTATTTACAGTTTTTTAATCTGTATTTTATTACTACTTTTGAATTTATTTTTTGTATCTTCTTTTTCTTTACAATAATTAGCTTATCTTATGAGATTTAATTCTAATTTGTGGATTTGAATATTCTTAATATCATCTAAAATAAGTATTGTGAAATTAGGTAATTTTTTTTTTTTTTAAATATTCAAGATATTTACCTAGCTATTTAGATTATAATAAATCTTTTTATTATTTAACTACTTTTACTTAATTTGAGACTTTTATAATTAAAATATTCTTTGAGTAAAAATATCAAAAAAAATACTTAGTTTTTGTATCATCTCCTGTTAATAAATTTATTAGATCCTTTATATGTACCTATTAAAATATTATAAGAGATAAATACTATTTCCTGTCTTAAAGTTGTTGGGGTTGTTGGATGGCATGACATGGGTGGTGTAATAATGATTAATAGAGCAATAAAAATAAGGAAAATGGTAAATATTTTATTGTAATTAAAAATAAATAAAAAAATATATAAATTTAATATAAAATATTAATAAGGGAAAGGCTATTATGATTAAGAATGAATTAATTAAGGATATTGAGTTAATTTGCACAGAAACTTTTATACGTATATAATTATAAATAAATTTATTGGTAAAGAATAAATTATTTATAAAAGAACCTATAATAATGGTACTAAATATAAATGGTGGAACATTTCATAGTTATTTTGAAAGTCGTTTCAAGAAGATGTAAAAATAAAATACTCCTAGAGGAGGAAATTAATTTAAATGGATGTAAGGTTTTAGAAAAATGAGAATGTAGGATTGGTGTTAAAATTGGCATTTGGGATACTCAATTTAAAGAATATATAGATGACAATTACAAATTAATGTAGTATCTTTCATTAAAAATCTATTTTTAGAGGCTTAGGATATAATAACATTGATAGAAAAATGGAAAATGGATAGAAATTTATCAAAAATCGATGAGGTATAATTAAATAATAATTTTATTCATTCTAAAATTTCGAGTGCAAAATAATAAATGTTAGAAATTATAAAGAGGGTCTTAGAATAGAAAATTAGATAATTATAGATCAATTAATTGAAAATTTTATGTAAAAGTATCAAATTTGATTATAGAGGAGAATGTAATTTATAATGAAAATGGATAGTAATTAGAAGTTTGAGAAGAAGCAAAAGATTATAGGTAATAATCTATAATATATAATATTTTAAGCGCTTTATCAAGATATACATAATTAGGCAGATATATTTAAATGGAAATAAAGAAGGATAAAGGCAGATTAATGTAAATATATATTAAATTTAGATTATTATATATAGAAGAGAAGGAAACTATAATGATAGAGGATTAAAGCTTGGATAATGGATTGAAATTTATGATAAATTTTGGGAGTTAAATCTTAATATAAAGAAAAATTAAAAGTGATAGATGGAATGCATTGTTTACAGCTCATCTGCAGAATAGAAATAGAATAAAGTTTAAAAAATGGATGGATTTGTATGAAAATAATTTAAATAACCCATTTATTTTGGTATATATTAAGATGGGATGGAATCAAAATATGAAAATAAAAATAGATAAAATATATGCTTATTTTTGAATTAGAAATATATATATAATTAATTATCATTTATATTTTATTTGAAGTGGCCAATCTTAATAATTAAAGATATATTGATAGAATTTCAATAAAAATTAACTTAAGGATTAGTTATTGATATAAAAATCATTGCTCAATAAATTTAAATTCTATTAAAGTTATTTAATCTTTCAATAATAAGTGGGAAAATTATACATTTGCTGTCTACCCCATAATAAATAATTTAACTTGCTTAATTTCTGTTATATTTAAATAGGTCTTCTTATTTACTTGCTCTGATTATAAAAATTCCCTTTAGTAAAAAGATACATTAGGCAAAGAAATTGTAAAATAAGTTTGTTTGGTTAAAATTGTTATTGTAATAATCTTAAAAAAAAATATTATAAAGAGTACATTAGTAAATTTATTTTAGATAAAATCAACCTTCACCCTGAAATTATTTAATTATCTAATTATTTTTTATTATAATGAAAATTTACTCTGTTTTTAGAATAATTATGATTGCAACCATTCTTTTTCCTTAGATATTAACAGCAAATTATTGTTCTATCATATTATTCAGAGATTAAGTTATTTATCTATTTGCTCTAAATCAAACATATAATATCATTTATATTCACAGTATTAAAACTTAATAATAAATTTGCTTAATTTTGAGGAAATTGTAAATTTAACTTAGTTAATTTATTTTTTATATTTAAAAAAATAGAATAACTATTGTGTTAATCTAAAGAAATTAAATTTTGCTTAAATAATTTATTAAGTAATAAATAATTTAATTTAAATAAATTCTTAATTCAATCATTCTAAAGAAAAGTTTTGAATTATAAATTCTTATTTTATTTTTTTTTAAATTATTATAAAAAAATATTTTAAAACAAATATTTAATACTAGTGGTGTGAAATTGAAATAGAGCAATTTTCGAAAATCAAAATGGAATTCGATAGCAACTTATGTGAAATTATTGAAATTAAAATTAAAAAAAAATTATTTAATTTAAAAAGTAAAGATTTCAAACTAATAAATATAAATAGTAACAATTAGCTCAAAAAAAATTTGAACGAAAATGTGTGATTTTAGGAAGAACAACATATAATTTCAATAATTCAGAATAGAAACAGTTTAACATTTTAAGAATGATATTCATTAAAATAAAAAGCAATATATGTTCCGATTTATTGTTGGTAAGTCTCTTATTA